GTCATCTTTAAAAAAAAAATAAAAGACCAGAAAACTTTCACAGGACTAAAGCCTTTGATGTAGATAAGGGAATTGAAGTACAGCAAAAAGTGATTGTTCTGGGGGCAGTTACCCTTGGTGCAGCTAAGCCTAAATGATGGGAAAGTATGTGAGCTAAAATCTTCAAGGATATTCTGCTAGTTAGTGCTTGGGGGACATTCCATATCTCTCCCTAAGCTGTTTCTTTGACTTTCTTGAGTAGCTAAGTGCTGCTATTGTTTCTTTTTGTCCGTCACATGGCTTAGTTTTATAACTCCTTTTGATGGTAAATTGCTTGAAATATTTTAAGTTTACACCTACTTTAAGGAGGATTGTCATATAGCCAGTTTGCTTATGTTTTCATTATGATTGATTAACCACCTGTGTTTCTTCTGTGACTTTCTTGTCTTTTCAATAAAAACTGAAGCAAAACCTAACTCACAGCTGTGCCTGGGCTCTCCTCTCTTAAAGGAATTTTCCCTGGGTGCAGTCCCTTTGGGCTTCTCATTGCTCTAAATATATGGACTCTGAGCAATCTTTTGCATCTCTGTCACTCTGTGAGGGGTGACAGTAAACCATCTCTACTTGCAGATGATGTGATCCTATATACGGAAAATCCCAAAGTATCCACAAAAGCTAATCAACCTAATAAATGATCCAGCAAAGTGTCAGGGAAAATCAATACTCTCAAATCATTTGTGTATCTATAGAACAGAAATTAGCAATCCAAAAAGGAAATTAGGAAACTAATTAAATTTACAATAGCACCTACAAGAACTAAATACTTAGGAATAAATTTAACTAAGAAGGTGAAAATCTTGTATGCTGAAAACTAAACAACATTGCTGAATGAAATTAAAGACCTAAATAAGTGGAAAGTCATCCCATGTTCATGGATAGAAGACTTAATGTCATTAAGATGCCAATACTACTCAAAGATAGATTCAACATAATCCCTATCAAAATTTTAACAGCCATTAAAAATTTTTTTTTCAGAAATGGAAAAGCCAAATTTTAAACTCATATGGAATTTCAAGGAACTGCAAATAGCCAAAACAATCTTGGTAAAGATGAATAGAATTGGAGGACTTACTCGACTTCAAAACTTACTACAAATCTACAGTAATTAAAACAGCATGATACTCACATACAGACATACATATAGGCCAATAGAATAGAATAGAGGGCCGGAAATAAACCCTCACAGATATAGTTAGTTGATTTTCAATAAGAATGCCAAGATCATTCAAA